TCACAGGGCTTCGTTCTTCCTGCAGATGACATTTACACTGAACAGCGTAGGGACCTGATCCAGGAGTTTCCTTTACAGCTGATCAGAGGTGGACCAATCAGGTCTGAGTATGTTTACCCTGAGCTGATGCTCACATAGCAGGATTCACTGCTAGTGATGGTCAGCCTCATGAAGCCTTTTCCATCCAGATGGTTCACAAAGATTCATTGAGTGACGCTTCGTGTGCACACAACCCGCCTGCTGGTCCAAGCTTTCATTGCATTGTCATAGTGCACCTCTCTGCATGTAGCCATGAGTTATTACGCATTTCTGGCTCTCTCCTCACCCGTCGCCTGGTGACGCTGGAAGTTTCTTCCTGTTAAAGAGTTTTTCCTTCCGACTGTCACAAGTGCTTGCTCATGGAGGGGGGTCTGTTTGTTGGGGGTTCTCTGTCATAATGTAGGGTCTTTGAACGGGAACGGTCAATTATTTAAATTCAATGAAGTCGATCTATTATTATTTAATTACAAAATAAAACAAGAATTTAATGCAGATTTTATTAAATGTTCAGATTCAGTTCATGAATTATTTGCAGATTTAAAGATAACATTTCATAAAGTGAGTGCTCAGCTTACACAGTGGTACACCCCGCTCAGCTGCAGAGCCTCACATTAACATTCATTTAACAACCACCGTAAAGAGCAGCCAGCAGGGGGAGCCAACAGTAATCATTCTCTCTGATAGCTGTAGTTCAACTGACAGGAAACAGGAAGTAGACAGTGATTGGTCAGTGATTTCAATAACAACAGTTTCCTCAACATCCCAAAAGATTCACAGTAAGCTAAAAGAAACGGGCTGATCTTCATCAGAAGACAGTGGTCTGCTCCTGCCTCTGAGCCGAGTCTGGGGTCTGCACACAAACGTCACATCAGTCAGGCTTTCTCTGGGTTAGCTGGATCAGCTGAGCCCAAACTCGTCGTAGAAACAGGAAACAGGAAGCAGCAAACTTACGAGGAAGAGCAGGGTGTGGTGGATGATGAACTCTCTAGTGAGGGTGATCAAGTCCTGGTTCATGGCCTGGAACAGGGACGGGACCAGGACCACAGCCAGGTTATGGGCCGACATCTTGTTCACCTGAGAGAACACCTGAACCCTGAGGGAGAGAGGGAGGAGTCAGCGAGCAGGTGATGTTCTGTGTGCTGGTTTCATTCACTGTGTTCATGATCAGACTAAATAAATCATATTAACAGGTTCCATCAGC